AATTTAGATTTTACAGCATTTTTAGTTTATATACATGACATTGTCCTCACTGGGAATCATATTTCTGAAATTTGTTGTGTAAAATCACATCTTGATAACTGTTTCAAAATTAAAGACTTAGGCACTATCAGATTTTTCCTCGGTCTAGAAGTGTCAAGGTCTGCATCTGGAATCTTGCTCAATCAACGTAAATACACGTTGGAACTATTGTCTGACATAGGTTTATTGGCAGCCAAACATATCTCCACACCAATAGATTATGCTCTCAAACTTCATAACATCCTTGGGGAACCACTGGATGATATCTCCTCTTATCGTAGACTTATTGGACGTCTCCTCTACCTCACAACCACTCGTCCGAACATTAGCTTTTGTGTCCAACAACATAGTTAATTTCTATCAGCCCCTACAGATGACCACCTATCAGCTGCTCATCAAGTTTTGAAGTATTTGAAAAATTCCCCAGCCAAAGGTTTATTCTTTTCATCTTTGAGCTCTCTTCAATTACGTGGATTTACAGATACTGATTGGGCTTGCTGCCCTAATACCAGAAGATCTGTGACTTGATTTTGTACATTCCTTGGTTCCTCCCTTATCTCATGGAGATCAAAGAAGCAAAATATTGTGTTGAGATCATCAACTGAAGCTAAATATAGAGCACTAGCTACCATCACATGCGAAGTTCAATGGCTTCCGTATCTTCTTCAAGACTTTTGCATTATACAACAAAAGATAGCTCCTATTTTTATGACAACCGTTCTGCAATATACCTCTCTCACAATCCTGCCTTTCATGAGAGGTCCAAACACATTGAGTTGGACTGTCATATCACTTGTGAGAAGATCCAAGCAGGATTGCTCCATCTCTTACCCGTATCCTCAGCTGAACAAATATCATATATATTTGCCAAGGCACTGTTACTTTCTCCTTTCAATTATCTTGTTGGCAAGCTGGGACTTCTAGATGTCCATGGTGGGGTGGGGTTCTTATAGCTAACAAGTAAAGATTATTCTGTTCAGTTAGTTATCTTTTCTTCCTAGCTTGTATTCTTTCTTTATATATATATATATATATATCAGAAACTCTTATATTCATTAATCAATTGTACTAGGGGTATTCGCGGTCTGGATTTGATCAGTTTTGAAAGCAAAAATCATCTGATCCTATCCCTTCGGTCTGATCATGTAATCATCCATTCGGTTTGGATTTTTTTTCAAATCCGATCCGATCCAATCTAATTTTTTCGGTTTGGATTGGATCGATTTTCGGTTTTTTGAAAATTCTAAAATTTGTTTCATGATTATTGTGCAAATAACATCTTTTGTATATATTGACTTTGTAATTTTATTTATTTTTAAATACAAAAGCATTAGTAAACGATAATATAATTTTTTTTGGATATTGAGATATGAAGCTCTACATAGATAATATTTTTTTGATGAGATGTGACTAGATTTTTTCTTGGGTTTAGTTGATAGGTTAATGTGTCTTGGATTTAGAAATTTTTGGGCTATGATTGGGGAAAGACCCAAGTAGGTAGAGAAAAATTAATATATTGGATCGGTTTTCATCTACCAATCCGAAAACCGATCCAATCCAATTAAAATTTGTTGTTTTTTTCGGTTTTTGATTTTTCAATTTTCGGTTTATTCGATTATCGGTTTTTGATTCGGCCACCGCGGTTTGAGGTGAATCGATTTGGATAGGTTGATGAACACCTCTAAATTGTACCCTTTTTTCATTAATGATCGCAATTTTCCTCATCAAGATATGATAAGATTTTTTGGTGATAAGAGTTGATTTGATAATAAAAGTATTTTTTCGTCATAAGAGTTGATTTGATAGTAAAAGTATTTTTGTCCCTTTTGAAAGTGAAAGTGATTTTGAACTTACGCATGTGATTTTGTAGACTCCTTAGTTAATGAACCTTCTCTCAAATTTATCTAAAGAGCAAACATTTATTTTCATCTCCTATATACTTAATAATATCATATTGGTTCTTAAAAAGGAAAAATATTAATTTAGTCTTTTAATAATAAAAAGTAAGGTTATTTTGGTTTTATAAAAAATTGACATTAATTTAACTATTTAATCTTAAAAATATCATTTTAGTCCATCAGTCATAAAAGTTAATATTAATTTTATTTTAATAATAAAAAACAGCATCAATTTTAACCTCTCGATTTTGTGCTCTACACACAAAAGAACAATTTTCATGTCATTTTACAAGGTTGGTAAACTAAATTAATGTAAAAAATATGTCGAAAACCAAAGTGATAAAAGTTATATATTTAAAGAACTAAAATGAGAACTGTTTTTTATTTTATTTTTTATTTTACCACCCATATCAATCACATCGGCTTCCAAACGTTTCCACCAAGTTCCATCATGCACTTTTATTCTCAATAAACATTAGACGGACTTATCTAATTCTAAAAATTAAGTCAATGAGACTAAAGTAATATTTTCCCATTGATTGTTCTTCTGCATTTTCTCTTCCTGATCATTAAGTGCATTTTGTTTTCTTGTAAGATTTTTATTGCGTATATTACAGCTCAGTTCAATGTAATATATACGGAAGAAATTATATTCATAAACTTTTTTTCTTACAAATCATATTAAGTATAATTAATCAGACTTCAATCAAGAGTGTATGACTAATCAGACTTAATTTAACTTGTAAGTTTGTAAGAAAAAATATTTATCAATAAAATCTTCCCATATATATGATGCGATGAAATCCTATTACTTTTGCCAATTGACAACTTTTTTATTTTTTATGCCAAGAAGATAAACCAATCATAATCTCTCGTAGTCTAATCGTGAATGCCTGAGCAGGTGTGAACAGAAAAGTACTTTGGTTTCATACATGCTCATTGAATGAATCAACTTCTAAACGAGAAATTCAAATTTGTTTGAAAGGTACCCTGTGAAATCTGTGGCAATATATCATCTTTAACTCTCTAAGCATGTTACCAAAATCTGAACTCGGGAAGGAATATGTCTTAATTGTCAATTGTAAAACGTGTCTATCATTAATTGTGTTTGTGAATTCTGCCAGTCATTGTTCTATTTTTATCCTCCCACGTTGCTATTATGTAGGGTTAGTAAAACATGTTGGTAGGTCATGTTTGTGTTTGTTAAGGTCTGACCTATGGATCAAATTATTATTCGACCTAAATATTATCTATTTTTTTCACAGATTAAAAATTGAAACCAGAATATGACCCATCGGTCATCACACAAGTTGACTCATAAAAATTAAAAATTCAATTTTTTCCTAAAATGATTAAAAATAAAAAGAAAAATTTGAATAAAATACGCAACTTGACCCATGACTCGTAATAAATTGTGTTAAAATCACCAAAATTTTAACCTATTTTTTTTGGACAATTTTTTTTTTTTTTGCAAGTTTACATGCAGGTCATGCAGGCCGACCGACGATATTGTTGGGTATGACTCATTCTTTGTAGTCAGATAACAACCCTTCTTGTTGGCGAGATCAGCAGAAAACTAACTAGAGTCTCACTCCCAAGTGAACGACAGGGTTTTGAGAGAGTTGTCCTGGTAGGGTCCGGGGGACAGTGCCCTAGGCCCATAGAGATTAGGTACTATTGTGGGTATCTGATTTATTGTAATTTTACTTTTATTAGTAGTTTGGACTTAAGCTCATGAATAATTATTATTAGAATTTTTTAATCTTATTTATATTCTCCTTGTAAATGAGTGACTTGTAACTAGTGGCGATGGGGTGAATGTAACCTACATTGAGTGAATCAGGATAAATCACCGTGTTAATCTCTCTTTCTTTTCTTTCTGTTTTATTAATTTGTGTGATTATCAATTTTTAACAGATATAACACAATAATTTGTGTTATTTATTCACACTTGTACACAATTCATTTTTCACAAATGAACACAACTTATATTTTTAACATGTCGTGTCTGAGTCAATCCGCGAGTTCATGAGACATTTTCCTACCATCACCATTGCCAAAGCAATGACGTCTATCTCAGTGTCACCGTGACATAATATACGAATACACATTTTATATAATTGCCGTCCTTTTCCTTAGCTTGAATTTTATTGCAAATTACAAGCACCAAAAGCAGCATATGATTAAGGCAGGGGCATCTATACCCTCTTCACTTGGGTACAGAGAGAGAACAAAATCAACAAATCACATGCAATAGATGTCTTTTAATTAGCAGCAGCAGTTTGCCTTTGCATTGGGAAATGTCATCATCACTTTTAAGCCGTTTTTTGTTGAATATTCAGCTATTGACTAGAAACGCTAAATCTCAGCCTGGTCCAACCTCAACATATAGCAATTAACAGCGTATAATTATTAATTGACTCTCTCAAATCTCAACTCACAACGTAATTCTGAAACAGTTCCCCGCTTACTAACAACAATATTAATTGTTTGGTTGTCAGCTATTCAGTTGCTCTAACCATACCTCGAAATCAATGTTAATTTAATTCACTAAATTGACCCCTTAAATAAAAAATATTTATTAATTCCTAAATTAAAAATTATTAAAAAGATACTAAATTGTTCAGATAATATAACACCACCTGAGTAGAGAGCACTCTCCTAGGAAAGTTGTGGGAAAGATACGATATATATATATGGTGACTGACTAAAACAGGCTTCGAATTAAAATATCGAAAAAAAGTCAAACATTTTATGTCATTAAGGAAGTTTTGGTTTCCTCAAAGGAGTCAGAATTCTAACGCATGCTTTTACTCCTTTTGCCCCTATTTTATTATTGCATTTAATGTACAAGTCGTCATTAGGACTATAATTTATTAATTTCTCTACATCCAAAATTTTATTTAAATTTATTTTTTCTGATAAAAAAAAAGAAACCCAATAAAAACTGATTGAAATTGAATCTCAAAGACAAAGACTAAGACCAAACCCCAATAATAAATTCTATGTTAATTCCACTTCTTTCATAAGCATCAACTTTCCCATTTGACTACAACACACAACTTCGACCCTCTCTCTCTCTCTCTCTCTCTCTCTATTCTTATTGTCTGCCATGGAAGATGATGAGGCATGCATGACTGGTCTAAATCTCGGACTGGGAATGGGAGGGTATGTGCCAAAGAAGGAGAAGCAGAAAGTAAACAATCCTGGGGGTTGTTTGAACCTAACGTTTGAGCTTTGTCCAAAAGGGGAAGCCATTGAGACAGAAGGGTTAAGTTTGAAGAGTGTAGATGAAGGACACCATCACCCGAATGAAAATAGTACTGATAACAACAATAGCAAGAACGGAAGCAGAAAGAAACTGAGGCTTACAAAGGAGCAATCAACCATGCTTGAGGAGAGCTTCAAGCTACATACAACTCTTAACCCCGTATTCATTCATACAAAACCTTCCATCTTTTCTTCTTTTTTCTTTTTTCTTTTTTATTTCGTATATAAATTCTGGAATTTTCTTCCCTTATATCTGTTCTTGATTTATGGAAGCTAATTAAACTGCATGCTGTATATGGCACTGAAGGCATATATACATAATATATATTAGATTATTATTATATTATATATATTCAGTAGTTGGATTTTTTTTTAATTAGAAATATAAGGGTTTGTAGCCATGAGGCAGAGAGAATTAATGGGTTGGTTTATGTTCCACATGCAGGCTCAGAAACAGGGACTTGCTGAGCAATTGAATTTAAAGCTTAGACAGGTTGAAGTTTGGTTTCAGAACAGAAGAGCAAGGTATGCTCTGGAATGATTCTATACATTTTTATGATTTTTTTTTTTCAATTTCTAGGGTGTTAAATTTTGGTTTGATTGATCTTATTGCTACCCTTTTCTCTTTTCATCATCAAGTTTTTATTTTGATTATCTTGGCTCCTTTTCTAAATCAACTTAGCCTGTAAAAAAGAGAGCTTTTTTTTTTTTTCCTTTTTTTTTCCTTTTATCTTTTTAGTTGACTTGACTATCAGCCATGTTGTATTGACTTTTTAGGACCAAGCTGAAACAGACAGAGGTTGATTGCCAGTTCTTGAAAAAATGCTGTGAAAAACTAACCGATGAGAACCTAAGGTTGAAGAAGGAATTGAAGGAGCTGCGTGCACTAAAAGTTGAACAATCACCACTTTTCTTTCAAATCTCAAAGACTGCAACTTTGAGCATATGTTCATCGTGCGAAGAACTATTAAAGCCCAATGAAGGAAACAATGCAACCAATTCCGATGTGGTCCGAAACAGCAGCCACAAATTATAGAGTAGCACATAGTTAGAGGGTATAAGGAACTCATAATTTGCTGAGGGATATTGGAATGTCAATATCAAACATTTTATTGTTAATTAATAAGAAAAAAAAACGTACATACCCCAAGTCCGCATATGAAATAATATATTATATAGGCCTCTCTTTATTCATTCAGTTACAAATTAATCAAAATTAAACCAGCATTTGCTTTAATTTGTTTTTGTTCTTTTGCCCTGTAAATGAATGATATTACGGACAAGGAGTAAGTGTTTGAATGGTTGAAATTCAGAGAGATGAGGCGAATCAGACAATTCCTTAACCCGGTCTACACTAACTAGAAACTAAAGGGTAGAATTTTGTTTTATATTTGTCATCCATCATGTGGTAGATGGTTATTTACGTTCTAATTTAATTTATATAAATAATGACCTACTAGCTAATTCAATATTGCCCTCATAATGTTAAGAAGTCTCTCTCTCTCTCTCTCTCTCTCTCTCTTGAAGAGGGAAAACTCGTTGATAAGGAATGAGACATGAGTCCAATCTATATGAAAACACGTTTTATAAGGATATCTTTTCCAAAATCCGGTTGACATATATTATGATGCACTTCTCTAAGTTCTCTCCATAGTCAATATCTTATAATTAATTTATTCAATTAAACAGTAAAAAAATCGTAAGCGTGTAGAAAACGTGTAAACAGAAAAAACAAATGAAAGAAAGATAGATATATAGATTATCATTATTAACTATTATCTCTGAATCATCCTAACTTAAACATTTAAATTTTATATCAACGTAGTCAATTTGTCTTTAGGGTGTCAGATTTATAAGAGAACAAACAAGCAAAAGTTCTATCTCTCTATCTTTTTCTTAAATAAATCTTTGGTGCTACTGTTGCATCAAAAATTCAGTACATCTAACGAATAGAAATATTACATGTCAGTTAAAATTTTCTTTTCTTTGCTAAATTTTTCTCTCTCCTATGATGTGTAATGCTTTTATTGATGGGATACACTGAATCTTGGTGCAATAATAACACCAAAAATTTATTCCTTTTTCCGTATGCTTTACTTTAGGGCAATGAACCGGATAATTAGGGTCTCGTAAATCACAGTAAGGTCATTAGATTTGAGAAACAAGCAAGGCTAATAATATTTCTAATATATTTTTCATTATTATGTAAATTTTATATATAGAAATAAAAAGACTTCTATAAAAATTATTCAATAATTAAAAAGTGTAATGCTAAAATGCAAGGTATTTGAGAAGTCATACGAGAAAGGCAGTTTCCTATCATTTTCGTAGTAAGTGCTAATACTTCTAATCTAGAGAATCATGCACACTTAGAAGAGCGAGAGTGCGTTCGTTTATAATGGCATTATAAAAAGGGATAGATCCGTTTACAAACTTTTTTTGCAAATTACACTAAATACGACCGGTCGTACACTGCATGATTAAAATATGACCGGTCGTACACTGCATAATTAAAATATGACCGGTCGTACTTAGTGTAGTTTGTAAATATAACTTGCCCTTTATACAAAATACATCATGCAGAATATTAATGGAAAAGCTCTATATAGCGTGTTTCTCGGGGGAATGTACCCTCTCTTAAACACACTAATCCACTGCCTGAATCACGTTGAAAGCTTTTTTCATAATATGGATGATTTTGTTCTTCTTTTCCTTAATAATAAGATGGATTCCTCGTATGTAAAGAACTATACAATTTGTTTTTGTGTAAAATTAGTGAACTCTGGCATAGGTAATAGATGTTACTTTAAAATTTGTGCTTTTTTTCTTCTATTTTGTTATTAAGAAAAATAAGAGAGTCCAAATCTAATAATAGATCGAGTGTTATTATGATCTATTGTTGTTATAAAACAGTTTTATATCATCACTTAATTTTATATGTAATATTATTATATTACGACTATTAATTTGAGAGATCAAACTCTTTTGGTAGTATAAAAATGCATGATTGTACAATAATAAAAAATTATGTTGATAGTAAATTGTTATGGACTCATACAAGGGGCCCATTGACTGATAGACCCAACAAGGGACAATCTAAGATTTAAATCTAGCATAACTACATAAGGATATCTATCAAGGATATCAATCCTAATACGACAACATGACAAATGGGCCTGGGCCGCCGTCAGAGGTACTAAAGGTCCATCAACTACTACCTACAGGTAAACCCTAGAAATAAGAGGTAAAACTTACAGGTACGTTTCGCTCTCTCTCTTACTGTTATGCTGTCACTGTGCGCACACACACCCCATCTGGAAAATCTGTTATTCCTTTATTGTGCACAGTGATCTGCTTGACTCAAGGGTATCTCCTTCATAGATATCTTGGAGAGGGTACCAGATCCAAGATCAACATACTAGTCCATTGGGTTAGACATCTCTGTCTCCAAGACAGAACACTGATGTCGTCAGTGGGGAGATGAAATCCTTTTTCATCTTCACCAGCTCAGCAACGGTCTTAGTATTGTCATCTCGAAGGATGGTGAAATCCTCATTCACCAACTCGGCAACCGTCTTGGCCTTTTCCTCTCGGGATGCGTTTACCTCATTGAGAGTACGAAGATACTTATTTTTCAAAGAAAGTAAAGGCCTCGCCATCTTCGCCACCTTCATATAGTAAAGTTCCATTTTTTTTAACCTCCTCACCTGAGATGTAGTGAAGGGAGTAGAATTAAAGAAATGCTCCGGAAGGCAAACAACATCCTGAAGATCACCACTGATCCTGAATTGCCATAAGGCGTGCTTGGCGAGACCAGCGGTTGAGGGAAGAGCAGGAGTCTTGGTCAAAATTTGAGAAGAGGTGGGGGCACCCATATCAATAGGGATTCCCTTGGCCTTGTCGCCGATGGAAATGGGGTTGCCTTTATCAACTGGTGTCCCCTTGGCCTTATCAGCAGCAGCAGCAAGCTTCTTGACCTTATGATGTGCCTCTGGCAAGTGTGATTTTCTGTGTTAAAATTGATAAGAATTGAGTCATACTAGAGCAATTTAAATACATATTTGCTAATTATATTGATTCTTTCTTTTCAATAATATTTCTCACCTATTGGTTGTGTTTATACAGGTAAAAGGAGTGAAAATTACAAATTATAAAAAGCCTGTAGACGCGACACCACACAGATGTATCACAATACTATGGACAGCAACATGGCGCCAGCTGGCGCCACTATGGCGCAAACTAGCGCCGAATTCTGGAAAAGCAAAAAGGTCACAGAACCATGGCGACTAGTGGCGCCAAATTGGCGCCAACTAGCGCCAAATCCATGGCCAAATTCCCATGCCAACTTGCGCCAATTTAGAAGAAGAATGGCGCCTAGTGGCGCCAAAAAAGTGAAGCATGGTGGCGCCAGTTTTGAAGCCTTCTAGCGCCACTTTTCGAGAATCTGGTTCCGACTTTTTTAATTTAGACAGAGGCGTGGCGCGAAGTGGCGCCACACCGGCGCCAACTGGCGCCGGTTTGCGGGAAAGTTACTCCGTGTTGTCCTGTGGGTATTTTTGGAAGAAGGAAAAAAGGCTTATAAATAGGATCCTTATGACAGAATTAGGTATTCAGACCTATTCTTCTGAAGAGAGACGACGGCGGTGCTCAGAGAGGATTCCTGGGATCAAGTTTTTCTTCTACTTCTTTCTAATTTTATGCTTTCATTGAATATTGGATTTTTAGCCAAGATTATGTTTGGCTAGTTTACTTTTTATTGTAGTTAGGGTCACGAACCCTATGTGAACCCTTGTTACGATGGATTGATTTATGGATTTTCGTTTATATAATTATCTTTATCTTTACCTCGTGCGTGTTTTATATCTTCTTTGTTAGACTTGATCAATCTAATAGTTTAGGATAGTTTGAGGGTTAGAACCCTAGATAGGAATATTGGGATTTTCATCTTGAAAGGGGTAAGATAACAATTACTATGCATGCTAGGATTAGATGTATATTAAATTGCAGATGCTTAAATTATTGAGTTCATTGCTTAATTCTCATTAGGGGTTACTAAGGGATTAGGATTCCAATTGAGGTTAAATGGTAAATTGCCAAGGGATTGGGATTTAACTAATTAATTCTAGATAATAATTTATCTGAGTAATTATATAATTGAATATTGTAAATCAATCCAGAGTAAGAAGTGGGGATCATATGGTGAGTGTGTCCTAGCTACAATGTTTTTCTCATTTTTACAAATCAATTCTCTTTTAATTATTCTTTTTCTCATAATTAAAAATACAAAAACAAGTCCTTATTTTCAGTTCTCGATTTCACACAAATCGACAATATTTGTCAAAACCATTTGAACTCATCCATTCTTGAAAAGAATTATGAATTGATATTCGACCCAATCCTTGTGGAGACGATACTCTACTTATCATTATATTACTTGTGCGATCGGTATACTTGCCGGTGAGCATCACCTTGGAGCCAAGAGCCTTTCTTTTCTTGGTTGTCAAGTCGACAATTGTATCCTTCTTTCCCCGACTAAGAGCAGCCAGGAAGCAAGGCTGTTCGTTCTGCTGGATCTCCATGCCGGGAACTGCAAATCAAAGACAATGGAATCGGGTTATAAAGGCACAATATAATAAATGTATGTGTGAATGCTCAAATAAAATCATACTTATTTCAGAATCAAGCTCTTCCTGAGACTTGAAAATAAAAGTTGCAACACTGGCATTTCCATGCACCCTGATATATTCCCCAATGGCGAATATGGTGTCGATATCAACAGAACTCAACTCGGTTTCCTTAAAACGGTAACACGAGGAAGAAAAATTATAGTGGTCAGACAACCAATACAAGGGAAACTTCCCTTCCACATCTTCAGAATCAGAAGCGTTGAGAAACCAAGCTTCCTTGCCGAGATATGCAGAAACCTTAAAGAACTTCTCTTTCAAGTTCTTAAAGGACTTAGAATAGACGTGAAAAAGCTTCTGACCAGCAACACCCCGGAGAGTAACCCAACCTTTCCGTTCTGGTGGTTCGCGGCCAGTTCGAGGTATAATAGCTTGAAAGAAGAAAAAGAAAACGGAAACAAAGGAAGGTAGGGCTAAATAGGCACAAAAACGCTAAAAGGCTTTAACAAAACCCCAGCGGTTGGGATG